TGGGGTTTTTTGTTGTTTTTTTGAGACAGAGTTTTACTCTGTCCCCCAGGCTGGATGGAGTGCAGTTGTGCAATCTCGGCTCACTGCAACTCTCCCTCCCAGGTTCAAGTGATTCTCCTGCCTCAGCCTCCCAAGTAGCTGGGACTACAGGCACCTGCCACCACGCCTGGGTAATTTTGTATTTTTAGTAGAGATGGGGTTTCACCATGTTGGCCAGGCTGCTCTCAAACTCCTGACCTCATGTGATCCCCTCACGAGGCCTCCCAAAGTGCTGGGATTACAGGCATGAGCCATGTGCCCACCCCTTGTCTATACATTTTAATATCTATCTCTCCTTTCAATTCACATGTTGTTGGGAAAATTTATTTATTCTGTTTCTCAAACACTAGATTTTGCCAACTGCATCCCTCTGGGGTCATTTCACATGTTCCTCTGTCACCTGTATTTCCTACAGGGAAGGTTACTGTAGTAGTTAGATATAAAGGCTTGATTAGATTTAGAGTTTTTATTTATTTATTTTTTGAGATGGAGTCATACTCTTGTCACCCAGGTTGGAGTGCAGTGACTGATCTCAGCTCCCTGCAACCTCCACCTCCTGGATTCAAGTGATTCTCCTGCCTCAGCCTCCCAAGTAGCTGAAATTACAGGCACCCGCCACCATGCCAGGCTAATTTTTTTGAATTTTTAGTAGAGATGGGGTTTCGCCATGTTGGCCAGGCTTATCTTGAACTCCTGACCTCAGGTGATCCACCCACCTCGGCCTCCCAAAGTGCTGGGATATCAAGCATGAGCCACTGCGCCCGGCCTCCCTTTTAAAGCACTTTCTGAAGTCAAGCGTGATTCAGGATTGCAAGCCTTCAGAGAACTATGGTGGTAAAGTCTAAAAAGATAGAATCCTTTCCACACCTGAGAAGGCAGTATTTTTAGAAGGAAACACCAGACTCACACTTAAGTCACTGCAAAGGCATTCATGTTTATACATTTCCGAAATTGTCTTACTTGAACTTTATGTGACTTTTAGCACTGTTAAGACACTTCCATAAATTTCTATGAGGTTACTGTTATGGATCTCTATCTTCTTTGACCTCATCTGCTCAGCCTCCTTCAATTTATTATTTTCCTCCATTCACCTATCCTTTAAATATTAGTATTTCCTGATTCTTTTTTTCTTTCTTTTTTTTTTTTTTTGAGATGGAGTCTCACTCTGTCACCCAGTCTGCAGTGCAGTCATGTGATCTCACCTCAATGCAAACTCCAATTCCCTGGTTTAAGTGATTCTCCTGCCACAGTCTCCTGAGTAGCTGGGATTATAGGTGCCTGTCACTATGCCCAGCTATCCTGATTCTTTTTTTGATGACTTACTCTAGGCACCATTTCTAGGGGTGGTAGACACAGAAACATACTATCCAGATCCCCCTTCAAGCAAGGGCTTGCTGCCTCACAGTGGGCAGCATGGGCAGCAGCATCCTCCAGCTATCAGTAGGGCCTGGCTCAGCTGCTGAGTACCCCCTCACTTGAAGTCGTGACCTCCCTGGGGCAGCCCCCATGTGGTGACTGAGTAAGGCAGAAGTATAAAGAGGCTTCACCATTTAGCCCAACACAGAACACTCCAACAAACAATAATTGTTCCATAGCTCCTGGCAGGGTTGACTGAGGTTTATTGATTGATTGATTGATTGCAGTGGCACAATCATAGCTCACTTCAGCCTCAAACTCCTGTGCTCAAGCAATCCTCCCGCCTCGGCCTCCCAAAGTGCTGGAATTACAGGCATAAGCCAGCATACATGGCCTGACTGAGGTTTAGTTGGGTCTATAACGTATACGACTTCTTTCTCTGCCTAACACTGTTCTCTCCCCCATCCTTTCACAAGACTTGATCTGTAACAAATATCTTGAACCCCAAAGTCAGTCTCAGTAACTGTTTCCACAGAAGCCAGCTTGTGACAGTAGGTGACATTATCCCACATAGTCTGTCACCATAAGTTCATTACTACTAAAATATATCCTTGGCTGGGCATGGTAGCTCACGCTTGTAATCCCAGCACTTTGGAAGGCTGAGGTAGGCTGCTCACTTGAGTCCAGTTCAAGACCTGCCTGGGCAACATGGTGAAACCCCATCTCCACTAAAAATACAAAAAATTAGCTGGCCATGGTGGCAGACGCCTACAGTCCCAGCTATTCACGGGGCTGAGATGGGATGATCACTTGAGCCCAGGAGGTAGAGACTGCAGTGAACCCTGATCGTGCCACTGCACTTCAGCCTGGAGCCAAAGTGAGACCCTATCTCAAAAAAATAAAAAATAAAAAATAAAATAAATCATATTACAAACACTCTTCTGAACATGTTTAACTTCCCACTACACAGTTGTACCTTAATATCCCTATCAGCATCTTGAACCCAGCCTTTTCAAAATTAACCCTTTCAGGCTGGGTGCAGCGGTTCATGCCTGTAATCCCAGCACTTTGGGAGGCCGAGGCAGGTGGATCACCTGAGGTCAGGAGTTCGAGAGCAGCCTGACCAACATAGAAAAACCCCATCTCTACTAAAAATACAAAATTAGCTGGGCGTGGTGGAGCATGCCTGTAATCCCAGCTACTTGGGAGGCTGAGGCAGGAGAATCACTTGAACCCAGGAGGCAGAAATTGTGGTGAGCCAAGATCATGCCATTGCACTCCAGCCTGGGCAACAAGTCTCAAAAAAAAAAAAAAAAAAAAAAAAATTTACCCTTTTCCTGACAAACCTACTTCCTTCCTCTTATCTATCCTCTCTTGACAAATGATACCACCATTCACCAAGTCCCCATTGTCAGTTTTTCCTTACCTCCTATATTACCTATTTCTATGTTAACAAATTACTCCCCAAAATATAGCTTAAAACAACAAACATTTATAATCTAACAGCTTCCATGGGTTAGGAATTCAAGAGTGGTTTAGATGAGTGGAACTTGGAAGAGCAAGGAACAGGTTCTCCCTTAGATCCTTGATCCTGAAGGCACACAGGTACCTTGATTTCAGCCTAGTGATACTAATTTTGAACTTACTGCCTCCAAAACTGTGAGAAAAAATGTACCTGTGTTGTTACCAAGTCCATAGTAATTTGTTACAGCAACTACAGAAAACTAATATAGCAGGGAAATATGTACAAATGGGTGAAGAAACTGTGAAGGGAAGCATACACTGTTCTTAGAGGGACAGAGGCTGAAAAGGGCACCAAGTTTGATTCAGTATTGCTCCGTAAATGAATAAAAAGAGAACAGAGTGTAGCTAAACCTTTTGCCTATGATAAAAGAGAAAGCATGGATAAAGCCAGCAATAATTTATGTAGTGTCAGAAGCTCTACTTTATGACACTGTATAATATAAATTCATTTAAGGGTCTCTCTCTGCAAAATTTCTCCCTATTCTAAGAGCATTTTGAGCACAATTTGTTCGTTATGGGAGTGTGTTACAAGGAACCCTGGCATACCAACTCAAGAAGGCCCTCCAGTAAAGAGTAAAATACTGCCAAAATCCCTAAGGCCCAGTTTCCTGCATTTCTTCCACAGAACCAGTCAGGCCAAACGTAATTTCAAAGAACAATAAAACAAAATCTTTCTAAAATATTGTGAAGGGACTATAAATTCTGAGGTTCTGTGGAGCAAAAAGGACTGCATTCCTTCAGATGGATCTTGGTTCCACTGGCTACCTAAACTCAGCTGTGCCTTGGATCTTGTAGAAGCCAGGACTAGTTCCGAAAGATGTTTTGTTTGGGGTTTGTTGTTGTTGTTTGTTTGTTTTGAGAAGGAGTCTCGCTCTGTCGCCCTGGCTGGAGTGCAGTGGTGTGATCTCGGCTCACTGCAACCTCCGCTTCCGGGGTTCAAGCGATTCTCCTGACTCACCAAAGTGCTGGGATTACAGGCCTGAGCCGCTGTGCCCGACCTCCCTTTTTTTTTTTTTTTTTTTTTTTGAGATAGAGTTTTGCTCTTCTTGCCCAGGCCGGAGTGCAGTGGCGCGATCTTGGCTAAATGCAACCTCAGCCTCCCCGGTTCAAGTGAGTCTTCTGCCTCAACCTCCCAAGGAGCTGGGATTACAGGCACACGCCACCACGCCCGGCTAATTTTTGTATTTTTAGTAGAGACGGGGTTTCACCATTTTGGCCAGGCTGGTCTGGAACTCCTGACCCCAGGTGATCCACTCACCTCGGTCTCCCAAAGCACCGGGATTACAGGCGTGAGTCGCCGCATCTGGCCACCTAACTCATTCTTAACACTGGTTTCAGGCAGGGCGCGCATGGCGGCGGGTGCCTGTAATCCCAGCTACTCGGGAGTCTGAGGCAGGAGAATCGTTTGAACCCGGTGGACGGAGTTTGCAGTGAGCTGAGACCACGCCACTTCACTCCAGCCTGGGTGAAAGAGCGAAACTCCGTCTCAAGAAAAAAAAACAAAAAAGACTGGCTCCAACACATTTGTACAGTTTGCGTAACATTAGTCAGCCAACTTGTTAGACATTTCAAATCTCTTCAACCAGCTATCTTACAAAACCTTTTTAGCGTGACTTGCATACATAGACAGCAGAAATCAATCATTACATTTGTTTCCTAGTCATATACTGCAGCCTCCCACAGAATTCAAGAATTGCCTCTGGCCATTCCTTGTCATACGATGAAATATGTAACAGATTGAGCCCTTGGCCTCCAAGCGGGGCTCCACCGACCCCCTCAGCTTCACTAGACACCAGCTCCGAATTGTAGTTCTTAGGCGGGTACTTAATAGGAATTCTGGAAACTGAATGAGCTCATGTTTGCAAAGCCTTTGGCGTAATTCCCGGCACAGAGAAAGCGCTCAATGAATGTTAATTATAATTAATGCAAAGCGCCAACGTGCACTGTTTGATTCGCACAGCCTGGGAAACAGTTCGGTTGTCATTACTTTCTTATGGTTAAATTATTCAAATGGTTAAACTATTAATTTGTTTGGTTGAGGAAATGGGCCAACAGGGAAGGCAAAACGTGACTTGTTTTACCTGCGGGGCATTCGTCTTTGGATCTCTTTATGATAAGAGACAGGACACCTTTCTCTTCAGTTCACATTCCCTGCAGCCGTAAGATGGCTCTAGAATACTCGGCAGTAAGACAGAATGGGCCGGGCGCGGTGGCTCACGCCTGTAATCCCAGCACTTTGGGAAGCCGAGGAGGGGGGATCACCTGAGGTCAGGAGTTCGAGACCAGCCTGACCAACATGGAGAAACCACGTCTCTACTAAAAATACAAAATTAGCCGGGCGTGGTGGCACATGCCAATCCCAGCTACTAGGGAGGCTGGGGCAGGAGAATCGCTTGAACCTGGGAGGCGGAGGTTGCGGTGAGCCGAGATCGCGCCATTGCACTCCAGCCTGGACAATAAGAGCGAAACTCCGTCTCAAAAAAAAAAAACAAAAAAACGGAGAGATAGAATGACTCAGATACCAACTGTCTGACTGCCCTTTTTGGCAGGCCCTCTGGGCCCGAGAATCCTCCAGCAGCCTCTGGAAGAATTCCGCCAGAGGAAGTCAGTTGTCACGGAAAACGAGATCTTCCGCCTCGCGATGATACGTCATCAAGGAGCGCCCGGAATATCGAAGGATTTTGGGGGAGGAGATTTCCGGCCCCCAGCCCCTCCACGACCTTATAAGGTCTCTTCCCATGATTCTCTCTTTCTCTTCGCCATCTCTTCTCTTCCCGTGAATCCGTCGCCATGAAGTAAGCACGACCCGTGGTTCCCAATCCGCTTACATCCTCGGGCAGAACGCCTCTCTGTCGTCCCTGGCATGGCTGTAGACACCCTCCCTGATGGACTTTCACTTTTTGTTGCAGGGTGGAGCTGTGCAGTTTTAGCGGGTACAAGATCTACCCCGGACACGGGAGGCGCTACGCCAGGACCGACGGGAAGGTAAAAAGCCGCGTCGGCTTAACCTAGCTTCTTGTACTCCGAGGAGGAAAGGCTGGTCTAATTCGGTTTAGACGGGTTCATTCCCCACATCACCATTGACCTCTGGAACGCTTCGTGGACGCGCTGTGGACTGGTCGTTAGGACCAGACACCTCTAAGTGAACCAGCGTTGATTACTTACTGTGAGCCAGGTCGGACGTCAGGAGGGGTTTATGTAACTGATGTCCCTGTGTAAGGGAAATAACTGAGGTACCGAGATAATTGGTAGTTTCCCCTTGGAATCCCGGGATGGACAAGAGCAGAATGCTTCCCAGAAGGATGCACCACCCTGTCGTTTGCTATGAGTTTAGATTTCCTGCTCTCGAGAAAAGATTAAACGCAAGGACCTTCATAGTGTCGCGCAGTTACCTGCCAGTTACGTGACAGCCTTTTGGTTCTTGTGGGCTTCAGTTTTGTAAAATAAGCCAGAACTAGCATGTTGATCTTCTAAGGATTCCAAGCTCATTCAGCCTCTTGTATTTTGTATAAATAGGTAATTCCTTTGAATTTGTCACTCCAGGTTTTCCAGTTTCTTAATGCAAAATGCGAGTCGGCGTTCCTTTCCAAGAGGAATCCTCGGCAGATAAACTGGACTGTCCTCTACAGAAGGAAGCACAAAAAGGGTCAGTCGGTAAGTGGAATACGCCTTGATACTGGGAGCTATCTCTTAAGTTGTCTGAGTTCTCTGAACGTTGGTTTTCTGCTCTGTAAAGTTAAATCAGACTGTATGCGAAAGAGTTCTTAAACTGTAAAGCATCAGCGAAATGCAAAAGATATTATAAACTGTCTCTATACATCTTAGGCTAGCAGCAACACCAAGTTGAAATTTTAAAGTCAGATAAATTACGTTAAGCACATTTGGGTTATAGGGCAGGGTGGAAAGGCTTAGTTTTCCAGTGGGAGGAAATTGAGAACTTAACATAATTTGGTGTTGATTGGAGTATTTACAGGATTAGTCCTAACGTAGCCAGTCCACCATACTGGTTCATTCTCAAGACAGTGGTTTTTCTGGTCCTTGTTAAGTGTCCTTTTAGCTGGGTTATACATGAGAACAAGTTTGAGTGCCATGGTGGGACTAGTATTCAGTAGGCTTGGGAATACTTAGCACCTTCTGTATGAAGGACTTTTCTAGGTATTGTGAGAAATAAATGCCATCAGACATAAAATATGTTGAAAGTTCAGAGGAAGGAGAAACTTAAAAGTGGATATGACACACCTGTTAGGGTGACTATTAAGAAAAAACAAAACAGGAATTACAGGTGTTGATGAGGATGGGGAGAAATTGGAACCTTTGTGCATTGCTAAATATGTGGCAGCTGTGAAAAACCGTTTGGTGCTTTATCAAAAGGGTAAACATAATTATCCCAGCAGTTCCACTTGTAAGTTATACCCCAAAACAGTTGAAAGCGGGGACTCATAACTTGTACATCATTGTCATAGCAAATCCGGGGTTGGTGGCAGCGGCTGTACTCTAGCTGCTCCCGAGGCCAAGGTGGGAGGATTGTTTGAGGCAACATAGGAGACCTTTTTTAAAAAAAAAAAAAGTTATTTAGATGGATAATGGTGATAGCTACACAGCGCTATGAATGTACCTAAGGCCACTATACTTTTTTATTGAGACGGGTTCTCTGTTGCCCAGGCTGGAGAGCAGTGGCAGGATCACAGCTCACTCTACCTCAACCTGGGCTTAAGTGATCCTCCCACCTCAGCCTACCCAGTGGTCCACAGGCACATGCCACCATGGCCCAGCTATTCTTTAAATATATTTTGAGGAGACAGAAATCTTTGCGATGTTGCCCAGTTTTGTCTCAAATTCTTGGGCTCAAGTAATCCTCCTGCCTTGGCCGCCAAAAGTACTGGCATTACAGGTGCGAGCCATCCTGCACGGCTAAATTATACCTTAAGTTAAAATGAAGCCGGGCATGGTGGCTGACATGCCTGTAATCCCAGCACTTTGGGAGGCCGAGACAGGCGGATCACGATGTCAGGAGTTCAAGACCAGCCTGGCCCACAGAGTGAAACCCCATCTCTACTAAAAATAGCAAAAAAAATTAACCGGGTGTGGTGGCAGGCACCTGTAGTCCCAGCTACTTGGGAGGCTGAGGCAGGAGAATAGTTTGAACCCAGGAGGCAGAGGTTGCAGTGAGCTGGGATTGCGCCACTGCACTCCAGCCTGGATGATGAAGTGAGGCTCTGTCTCAAAAAAAAAAAAAAAAGTTAAAATGGGCCTAATGCAGTGCCTCACGCCTGTAATTCCAGCACTTTGGGAGGCCCAGGCAAGAGGATCCCTTGAGCTTGAGCCCAGGAGTTTGAAACCAACCTGGGCAATGTAGTAGCGAAGACCCAGTTTCTATTTAAAAAAATAGAAAACAGGCCGGGGATGATGGCTCATGCCTGTAATTCTAGCACTTGGGGAGGCCGAGGCGGACGGATTGCCTGAGCTCAGGAGGTCGAGACCAGCCTAGGCAACATGGTGAAACCTGGTTTCTACTAAAAATACAAAAATTAGCCAGGTGTGGTGGCAGGTGCCTGTGATCCCAGCTACTTGGGAGGCTGAGGCAGAATTGCTTGAACCCCGGAGGTGGAGGCTGCAGTGAGCCAAGATCATGCCACTGCACTTCAGCCTGGGCAACAGAGCAAGGCTTGGTCTTTTTTTTTTTTTTTTTTAAAAAAAAAAAAAAAAAAAAAGGTTAAAATTGTCAACTTTACATTTTTACCACAATAAGAAAAATGTTTGTGTTGGTTTGAGACAAAAATATTAAGCAGGTAAATACTGCCATTTACTGTAGAAAAATTGCCATTTTACTGTAGAAACAAGATTTCATCTTTCTAAAAAGTTTAAAATTGGGATGTCTATAAACCAATGTGCTTTATTTTTGTTAAAAGTTTTTAAGGTACTTTTGCATTTCTGTGCCTTAATAAACAACTTTTCACATATACTTTGTTCTTGGACTTAAAGGTGCACTGCAAGATCTTTTTCTCATAAATACTGTAGTACAGGTTTCCAATATAGAATGTACAGGAAATGTTAGATTCCACAACGCCTTCTTAGACATATCCTACCTAACATTTGGTGGCTCTCCTGTCAAATCATTGTCTAACTTGAGTATTTCTCCTAGTGACAGTCCTTTGAGATAAAACAGTTGAATTTGATAATTTTTTTCAATAAGTAAATTATTAAAAGTAGAAATAGTCTTCATTTATACTATGCAGTTCATGGAATAACCATTTTCCTTAGAGTTCAATTTTTTGTGTGTCTCTTTAAGGTAAAAAATGGCTAGGATTTGTAATAGCTTAATCCATAAGTGGAAAACATGTTTTATTTTCAAATAATTGTATGAATTATTTTTTGTTGAATATGAATATTAAAAGACTTCATTTGCCGTGTCTTAAAAGACTTAATTTTTCCTCCCTCTAAATTCTTGAAGGAAGGTTCCTAAGTGTGCCCCTCATCTTTGTTTTACAGGAAGAAATTCAAAAGAAAAGAACCCGCCGAGCAGTCAAATTCCAGAGGGCCATTACTGGTGCATCTCTTGCTGATATAATGGCCAAGAGGAATCAGAAACCTGAAGTTAGAAAGGCTCAACGAGAACAAGCTATCAGGTGAGGAATGCTTTCATTATGAGCGTTTCACCTATTGGGATGGATTTTAGGTTTGGGTCTTCAGTAATTAAAGTTACCATATAGTCTAATATATTTTAAGGTGATTTGGTGGTTAATGAAAATTATTGACAAACTCTTTGGATTTAGCCTACAAATAAATGCAGGAGGGGAAGGAAGGAATATGGTCATTGTACTTGTCCAGTACAGTCTAACTCTAATAGTAAGTTGTACCACTAAGGAGTAAAGTGCTTTTGCCTTAAGTTATTTTTACCCCACAGGGCTGCTAAGGAAGCAAAAAAGGCTAAGCAAGCATCTAAAAAGACTGCAATGGCTGCTGCTAAGGTAATTCTGGGGTTTCTTGACTTTCTTGAACAATACAACAGGAAAATTTCTTTTTCTTTTTTTTTTTTTTTTTTTCCCTCCCTCTCTCTTGTTTTTTGAGATGGAGTCTTGCTCTGTTGCCCAGGATATGGAGTGCAGTGGCATGATCTGATCTTGGCTCAGTGCAACCTCTGCCTCCCGGGTTCAAGCAATACTCCTGCCTCAGCCTTGCTAGTAGCTGGGAGTACAGGTGCACACCATCAGACCTGGCTAATTTTTTTTTTTTTTTTTCCCAGTAGAGACAGGGTTTCACCATGTTGG